CACACTCACAACATTATAAGATTGTAAAGCAGAATACAGTAGACCGACCAATCGATACAGTCAATAAATTCAACAATTGCTCTTTTCAGACATATTCTGGCCTTTTCTGTGTGGTAATCAACCCCTACAAAAGACTACCCATCTATACCGATTCCGTTGCTCAAATGTTCATGGGAAAACGAAGGTGAGTAACAGGGCCTTTTTTCGCAAACCAATGCTGTTATAGCGGCTTTATCGATCGAAGAGCAGCAAAAAAGTCATCAAAAAAAATTTGACTTCAGCTGAGAAATTGAGAAACATTGGGGAGGGGGAGGTCGGAACCCAATGCAGCAGTTAGTGAGCTGTAGACCCCTAAACAGTCACAAATCGTAAGCAAGGGGGTGCTTTTGAAAGCACCACCAGAATTCAAGTCACCCAAACCCTACCTGCAGGACACCTCCTGTCACCGAGAAAATTTTTTGCAGAAAATGCAAAAAAAAACTTCCCAGGCTCAGGTAGACTTTTTCTAATATTTTCCGTTTTGGGGAGGTTTAGCGCATTCGAAACGGGAAAAACCGCCAAAAGTCAATATTAGAAGAAAACTTCCAACAAAAAAACTTCTTGAGGCCAGATACCACCCCTCCTTCCAGGCTATGAATTAATACGCCTCCCCCCCCTGCGCGGCTAGGACTTAGTGTAGACCGTGTCTTCTTTACGAGACTATGCGCGGCGAAACCACATAGTGCCTCCACCCAATGGAGAATCTCACAACGTTGTGGATAGCGCGCATGAAACAGGAAAAAACCATTTCACACAAATACTTCTCAGGCTTAATACAACCCTCTCCCTGCTGGGGCTCCCTAGTGCTCGACGTACTCTGCCCAAAACCCTCTCAGATTGCCCAAATCGACGCGAATATAGCCGGGATAGTAGAAAAAATCTTAGGACTCTGACGATGTTCTAATATTTATCGGAACTCAATTGCATGGCGCGTCTCTAGCGTTTAATAGAGGTCAACCATTTGGTCGCTTCTCTTTGAAAGCTTACATTCAGAACTGAGATGCCACCACATTTGTTCGCTGTCTCTGACGAAGCCTACCGTAATATGCTGCAAAATCACGAGAATCAGTCGATGCTTATCACTGGAGAGTCCGGAGCTGGAAAGACTGAAAACACCAAGAAGGTGATTACTGTAGAGTACGGTAGTCGATCGTGAAACTTCAGTCAATAATCTTGTGATCAAGGTAACTGCCTACTTCGCCGCTGTCGGTGCCTCTCAACAACAG